ACAAAAAAAAAAAAAAAAAAAAAAAAAAAGTTAAATGAGGCAAGTGCTAAATAAGTATTACCATTTAAAAAAAATAAAATAAGCAAAAGTCAAGAGCCTAACATACAGTGAGCGCTCAATAAACACTGTCTTTTCCTTTTTTTAACCATGAGAAAGAGAAACCACGAGCTGATGATGTAGCCTACATGTGCAGACCCATGCAAACTTCTGCATTACAAATGAATGGCAAAGGGAGGTGCATATAAAGTGCACTTTAAGCTTCTCAGAAAAGCACATTAATTAAGGCATTACTTATTCTAGTATTCTTTTTTTCAGTTTTAATGTTCAGGACTCAGGGTTGCAAAATACAGACAGAGGTATTTGATAGTCCAGAGGAAATGCTCTTTTCAACAATAAGTAAATGTATGACAATTTGGAAAAACAAAAATGAGTCAAACCTTAAAGCAGGAACGAATCACAATTTAAATAGCCAGAAACTCCCAACGAAAATGACGTGTTCATGAAATGTTAAGCAGACTTCAAAAGTGCGTAAAACTTGAAAGGTCCAGGAATTAGGTAGCTCACTTCCTCTTACATTTTAGCACAGGTTGGGGAACTTCCAGCCTATAGGGAAGATCTAGAATTTGATTTCATCAACGATCAGAGTGAAATTGCTGCTGGACCCCAGGGAAAATTCTTCACCATGGGAAGGTCTCTGAATACTGCAGTTCATTCAGAGTATGTGTAATCCTTAAAAGTTTAGATATTAGAGTAATTGAAGAGCTGTGAGCAATTAACCAACAGGTGAACTTTTCAAAGAGCATCAGAAAACAACCTATGATTTTAGATAAATCATTTAACCTCTTTAGACTATAAAAGGAGAATTTCGACTAAATGATGTTCCAGTTCAGAAGCAACATAACTTTATGAAGTTAACACATAATGCTAGACCCACAGCCCAAGTGACTAGTAAGGGTATGGTTTCCACACTAATGGACCTCAAAATCTTTTTCAGGCTTCTCATCTTCCTCTCTCACTATCCTGTCTTATTCTTTATCCTGCTTTCCCACTATCTTTCTCTCTACCAAGCTGTCCTACTTTTCTTAATTAGAACCCTCCTATAGTCTTTTCTTCGTTTTACCACTTGTCTATTTTCTACTGTATACACTAGTTATGCCACTGAATTATTTAAAAGAACTTATACTTATTGACCAAAGTTGTGCCCTCTTAACTTTTTAAAGCTTTATTTTATATTTCTCCACGGGGTAAAAGGAATATAAGTCAAGTTGCTTTTTCATATATGCCCCAAAGAAAAAAAAAGCATTTTTTTTGATACAAAAAAGTTTCCTTAATCCTGCTCTGTAGATCTCTGGGTACACCGTTTGAAATACAAAAATTACAATTATTTTATGTCAAAATATTAATCATATTAAATGTAACTAGTTACAATGAATGCTGCAGAATTTGATTAGCAATAGTAATTGTGCATCGCACTGTTAGGATGTTGAACAGAATGATTCTAAAAGACAAACTGTCCTAAAAGACTCTGCTTAGAAATGCTTTGGGATCTGAACTTAAGTAACAGGTTTGTAGCAACAGACTGGCAAGAGCTTAGCTCCACGGTACTTTCCTTTGAAGCTTCCAGTGGCTCCTTTTGCTTGAAAAGCACTTACTGTTGTCGGCCAAAGTGACAATTCAAAGGCAGTCATGTGGACAATTGCACCATCCACCGAAAGGATACAGTTACTGACATAAACCCCCATTTTAAATGGCAGAAAAAAATTCCTGTGGATCCAAACTTGCCCAGTGGTCAGGAAAAATTCTCCTGAAAATCTCGCTTACATTTTGGTTCAAAACGCAAGTTTTAAATTGCCCACAATCACTATAGCGGTGAAACTAGTCCTGTGTGCAACAGGACTCGACCACATGGTAGTCTACTGAAAAATTAAACAACTTTATCTCAACATGCTATGGTCCACCAAAAGCCATCGAGTCCTTCCCTCTAACTGAATAAAGGAAATACATTTAGTTTGAATATAATCTTTCTTACCGTTAAAGGATACTGCAGGAAGGCATGATCAGGGACACAGGCAGACAGGGAGCAAGTAAGATATGAGAGAGAAAACCGTCCCTGAGAAAGGCATCATCTTCTAAGGCAAACGTGGGGTCGTTTTTGGACAGCCATTTTGGACAAGCTCTGGCCTCTCGTTAAATGTGACACACTGAGTCAGAGGCAGATATCCTTCTGTGGTTATTCACTTCCTGTCTGATTAATTTGTTGCTTGTTCCTTCCTCCTTTTATGCAGAAAAAAAGGCTAGATAGGCTTTACTTCAGAAGCAAGCAAGAAGAAACCCCTAAATTTGGAAAATTAGTTGTTTCTCCTTCCCACCAGGTGTAACATGCCTTTTGGTACAAGAGGAGACAAGAGGGACAAGGGGAGATGAGCACCTCCATCTGGTCAACAGCCCAACTTTATTCTAGACACCTCCACAAAAACACCTGCTCACGGAACGTGAGATTCCTTCAAGAAATTCCATTTTAAAGCATCACTCTCGATATTGATGATAACATTTAGGATTAAGGGAAAGAGTCACTCAAGAACTAGAAGCTCTAAGCAGCACTAATAAATAACATAAGTGATCCTTCCTCATCTACAGAGCGGGGTAGGGAGTAAGTTATAAACGCAGGTGAAGAGAGCTAGTCAGGTGTAGGAAGGCAAATGAGTTTTGAAACGTGGTTTTGGTGCCCAGGTCAGGATAAATGATATACAGGCACAACTCATTTCATTGTGCTTCGCTTTACTGTGCTTTGCAGATATTACGTTTTATTTTATTTTTTAATTTTTTTTAAAGTACCAAAATTGTATTTATTTAAAATTCATATTACACTGAGAAAACTCTTACTTTCAAGGCACTTCAAATAATTTGGTTAATAACTTCAGTGCATCTCTTTGTAGTCCCACAGACTCTCATTAAATCCTGTTTCTCTCTTTAAACTGTTTGGAACGTGGAATTTTTAAACCTTGGCCCATCACTGGTTTGGCTCTATGGAAGTAATTTATTCTCTTGAGATTATGGTCTTCAGGGATTAAGTATGTCTAAGGACTTTCTAACAAAAGTCATAAATATTCACACACACAAATGCCCATTTTAATATTCTATCCATTATGGCTCTTGATATTTGTTTGTCTTCACTTCTACTGTTTGTATTGAGCAAAGTTATAAAAATCACCGGCACATTACTGGTTTTGGCTTTCTTCCTCCAAACCTCATTATAAGGTAGAATATGGGTTAATGTGGTTATTTGATTCAATGTGTCTCTTTACATTTAGTGTCAAGCCTTTCTTTCTTTTTTTTCAGATTGTACATTTTATTATTTTTTAACAAATTGAAGGTCTGTGGCAACCCTGAGTCACGCAAGTCTATTGGCGCCATTTTTCCCAAAGTATTTGCTCACCTTGTGTCTCATTTTGATAATTCAAGCAACATTTCCAACTTCTTCATTATTATTATATTGGTTATGGTGATCTGTGATTACTGATCTTTGATGTTACTACCACGACTCGCTGAAGGCTCAGATGATTACCACTTGAATGAAGTTTTTTAAAATTGAGGTATAGTTGATTTACAATAGCAATAAAGTAGTTTTTAATTAAGGTATGTACATTCTTTTTAGACATGATGCTACTGCACACTTAATAGCCTACAGTAGAGTATAAGCATAACTTGTACATGCACTGGGAAACCGAAGATATCGGTGTGACTTGCTTTATTGCGGTATTTGCTTTATTGCAGTAGCCTGGAATGGAATCTTCAGTATCTCCGAAGTAAGCCTGTACAGCTCAAGTCCGCTGAAGATCAGAGCTTTCTAAGCCAAGATGTTTTGTTTCCGTCCGCCACACTTAATGGGGTGACAATAACTCTCCCAGAGGATGCCTGACAGAAGCACAGAGATGAGTACACAAGGAGGAAACTCAGATTCCTCACTCTCAAAGGACTCTTAAGAGGTGGGTAGGCAATGGAATATAGGCAAAAAATATTATACCGAAAGCTTGAGAAGTGTATAAAAATCTGAAATCGCTCATACTTTTTTCTCAATCCACCTGAAAGGTTCAGACTTATATTTGTGACACACACCATGTACCTCTGAGAACACGGTATCAGCTGAAAGAATGAAAAACAGAGGCACATTTTGGAGAAGTACTGGGATAGCTGACGTCCAAGGTTCTTTTAACTCTCAATTCTTTGAGATACGAGTCTAGCCTCACAAGGAGTTTCATGATGCCAAGCCATGGCAGAATTCCTAGAAGTGGAGCTTCCAAGGATTAGTGACCTAGAGTCTTCTACTTTGCCTGGTGCCACTTGATGGTACAGACTTTATTCTTCTCAACTAACGTAGGGCCTGGAGTCCAAGGGACACTCAATACATGAATAAATACATGCAGGCCTGAGGCTGGACAGAGGTGGAGGCCTGCAGCTATTATCTCCTTCGCTCTCCACTAACCTCGGGAAAACACAGAACTTGATCACCTACCAGGTAAATAAATGCCTGAGTGACTCTTTGGGGAAGTCTAACTATAGTTGGGTCTAAAAAGAGAACATGGGCAATAGGGTGATTTCTCTATGTATTTACAGAATTACTTTGAAGTTCTCTAATAAGTAATGTGCTCCAAACACACACACACAGACACACACACACACACACACACCCTAGGACACTACAGTTCATGACTATTCTCACCCATTAGGAAAAACTCAACTAGAAGGAGGTATGTCACTTAGAAGTCTGGAGCCTGTGACACACAAGGGAGTAGTTGGTCTAGGGTTTGGGTCTATTTCATCTTTAATGAGAACTTGTAAGCACAGTCAACTTTGGATACATTTATGAGGTGTCCACTATGCACCACAGGACATAAATCAGATAATGTTCCTCCCTGTTTAAAGCCCTCCAATGGTTTCTCATTTCACTTTAAAAATCCAAGCTCTGCCTAGGCTCACAAGGACCCACAAGGTCTGCGTCCCCCTGCACACCCAGCTCTCTGACCTCATCTCAAGTAAACTCCCTCTTGCTAATTTCCTTCCAGGTCTTTCTGTTCCTTAAATGCACAAGCTCATTTGCATCCTGGCCCTGACACTTGTAAGCCCTCTCACCTGGTACACTCACCTCCCTGGTTCCTTTTCATTCTCCAGTTGTCAGCAAAAATGCCTCCTCTCATGTCCCATCTCTACTCCCATTTTCTTTTATACATTGCACATGTCACCACCTGACATTTTTTCATTTAATTGTTTATTTACTTGTACATCCCTCCCCCTTGGATTCAAGCTCCATAGGACCTTGTTTCCTGCTGTCGCCTCAGCATCTAGAACAGCATCTGACTCCTGGTAGGTGCTCAATAAATATTATTTGTTGAATGAAAAAGAAAATCAATCTCTCTTAAAAATTCTACCAGAACATAACATTCGTTTAAGAGCCTAAGGCTGTTCCCCCTAAAGCAGTGACTAAGGAATGCCAAGGCTAGACTTGCACTTTCTTCTTGGGAAGGCTTAGGTTAAAGGGAAATCTGCCAGGGAAAGGACACTGGAGATGAGCAGTAAACCCTTTAACCAACCGCGGGGCTTGGCAATGTGTGCAGAGTCTCATGCAGTGCAAGTGGCTCATGTCACTGGGCAGTGGGGAAGAGAAAAATGGGTCAGGAAAGTTAAAAACAAATAGATAATCCAATCGGAAAGGAAGGGGAAGAAATTAAAAGATAAAGGAAATAAGGCAGGAAAAGATGGAGACAAAGGTGAGATCACATGGTGGGTGGGGGGCGGTTCCAACTGCATCAATGACAAAGCGGCCTTGGAGGCCACCCTCCGCAGTGGGTGTAGGTGTTGGATGTGAAAGCGCTTTCTGCCCTTCCTCTGTGCCCAGGTGTTCCCAGATCCGCGTCAGTTTCTCCGAATAAGGAATTTTAAGGACGAATGAGACTGCAGAGATCAGAGTCCACACCATCATTTACAGAAGAGGAAACGGGGGTCCAGAGAGGTTAAGTGACCTGCCTCTGTCACACAGCAGGCAGCAGCAGAGCTGGTGCCAGAAGCCCGGTCTCTCTCTCCATGGTCTAGTGTCATTATGGCCTTAAGCCTCATTTTAAGTTCAGAGGAGGATTTCACTTAATTCCTCTCTATAAGCATAAGAAGAGGTGGAAGGAAGAGGGGTAGAGAGAAGGCTGTGATGTGGAGGGAAGCAGTTGAGGGTAGGGTTTGTATTGCTGTTGGGGATGTTATTATAATCAAAGGCCGAAGAAAAGTGGATTGAGACCCCGAGGCAAATAAAGATAATCACAATCCTGGACTTCAAAGAGAATTTTAAATGCGTATATCACCCTATTCAATACATAGACCAGTCCCAGCCTAATGACAGAGTAAAACAATAATCAACAGTCTCCGGACCAATCAGATGAAGAATCCTCCATGTTAATCTACAGAAACAGAAAATGAAGGACGGACAGAGATTATAGTACAACACGGTGGTTCTCACCAGTCTGGGTAAAGCCGTAAAGAATCACAGCCAACGACCCTCCTATGGTGACCCCAAATCAACAGAGACTGAATAAGGGCAACAGTGACATGTATAAAATATAAGAACAATTGTTTTTTATAATTCTGGTTTCTCAAGTTGTGTTTCCATGACTACCTGTTATGGTTCAGTATTTCCCTGGTAGTAGAAACATATTTTAGAATACTGTATTCCTTCCATTCTAAAACACCACCTTCTTCAATAGCAAAATACCCCCCTTATAGCTTTTTCGGGGGAAAAGGAAACAGTACCAAATTAAATGTATGCATTTATTGTAAGAGAAATTCTACGTGCAACTTGTTAAAATATGGGAATTATGTGATTTAAAAGAGCAGAAACAAAGGAATTAACTTCTTCCCCATAAACTTATCAGTACAGCTACATAGAGGGATGATCATTTAAAAATAATCTCAGAAACAGAGAAATTAAAAACAAATTTTGTACTATTCTATGTCCTGCTAATATAAATTGGTATAATTTTACTTGGGGAAATATTTGCAATACATTTCCTTATGTTTTGGCAGCTCAGCCTCCACTGACCCTACTTACAATGATGTCCTTCCGTTTTCGTTTGGAGACGCATCCCTCCCTCCCTCCCTCCCTCCCTCCTTCCCAGACCCTGTGGGTCCAGAGGAATTCACTCCCATTCCAGATACACGAAGAGCTGGCTCGTAGGATCCTTGCATTCATGTGGCCCCAGAGACTTTTCTGGCGATGGCCTGTGACCTCATCAGAACCAAGGGAATTTGTGGCCAGAGGAGAGGACTCTTCCTGAGGGGTGAGACTGGAGTTGGATCTGTGAAGATGGAGGGGCTGGAATTGGCTCACTCATCCTCTCACCCACATGGGGTTTGAAAATGAGACCAACAAAGTGGGGAGCTGGGGATGGAGAAAACCCAGCTGTTGACGTTGTTGGCTGAATCCATCTATACCTGAAGCTAGCTCTATTTTGGACTTTTAACTTACACTAGCAAATAAATTCTCTATTTTGTTTAAGCTAGTGTGATCAGGTTTTCTATCACTGGCAATACAAACACTCTTATGTGATACAGAAATCAGTACTAGAAGTGAATGTTGAATGTGACTAACCCTAAAATGTGCAACTGGCTGATTTAAGGTTGGACGACAGCTAGTGCAGGCTCTCCTGCACTAGGAGGTTGACCATCCTGGCTATGTGATGGCAACACTGCTGGTTATGGTGCCACCTATTGAATCCTGGGTCTAAGACCACGAGCCTCCTGAAGGTGCACCATTAAAGGATTTGGAGATGAAATTTAGAAGGTTGGAGTGTGTCAGCTACTTGCAGCCTTCAGTGAGAGCCACAGGAAAGAGATAAACATAGGATGAAACTGATTGGAAGCCCAGAGGCAGGGAAAAAGGGCTTTGTTAATAGAGGCCTTTTTTTTTTCCTGTGAGGTGCAACCAAGATGGTTGAAGAGTCAAATAATCTGGAGCTTTGTGGGCTTAAAAACCCAAATTCTCAACACTATGCTAACATTAGATAGAGCAAGGCCAGACGGTAAGAACAATATCAGGAAAGAAGTTTGAAACCTAGGAGAAGCCTGATTCCCCATCGTCTCTCCAAAGAGACTGTGGTCTCTCATCTGAGCAGAAGGCCCGTTACATTCATTGTGATACACTGGTTTCCATCTCAGGAGCGAGGAGTAAATTATTAGTGGCTTCACCACCTCAGGCCACTGTTTCAAACTGTACCTAATCAGAGGCCACAAAATTTGGGAGCAGAGGATGGTTCATTTGCTGGGAGACAGAAATGCCCAGGCTTGGCTTCACATTCAAAGAGTACGACTCAACGCAATCCTGAGTTTTGTTCACTAGTCCATGGAGTTCAGGCATTAGAGAATCCTACCACGTTTTTAAGTACTAGAGGATAAAGCCCCAGAATGGTCGAAAACAGTTTATGATTGCTCAAATCCTAAGTCAATCCCTAGATCCCCGAAGCCAGGAGAACAGGGTGTATGTAGGCCGTGGAACAGGTGCAGCCCTGCTCTTAGAGACGGCTCTGAAGGCAACAGATAAGGAAGACCCACCCAGAGAGCAGGAGGTTAAGCCACTGGATGACCAAAGTCCTCATTCTGTTGCCACACAGCTAGAATCTGTTCAGTGGGTTATAAAATATGCTAGAGACAGGAGAGCAATGTCTCCGCTCCTTTCCCAAATGGAAGTTTAATTGTGAAATTCTTCTACTGCTCTCCCTCCACCATTGTATACTGGGTGTTAAATTTATAATTTAGCACTGGACCGTGAGATACTATGTTCAGCACTGACGGACAAGACTGTGGAAAGTATGCACTCGGCGCTGGACTTGGACCTGGATTGGCCACCTATTTTGGGGAGGAGGGTGAGTGTGATTTATTATGTGGGAGCATTTTTGAAACTGTATGTGTGGGAAGATGTGTGTTGCATAGGTAAATAGAGTATACACTGGTTGCTTTGGGGCTGTCCAGCAGCCATTCTTCTGAATTACAGTAGAGCATCAGATCTGGGGAGAGAGACATCCACTGATCTCTACCCCTGCTCTTCTGGCTTCAGTTGGGCTAACTCTACCCGGGCTCTAGGAATGGAAAGTGACCAGCCCTGGCCACTTAGAGCCTGCGGTTCCCTGGCTGCAGTGATTGGTTCAGAGATGAGCATGTGACTACTTCGTACCAGGGAGGTGCCATGAGACTTTTTCTAAGATGTGTGGGGCTGGGACTGGTGGTATGACAGCCACACTGTACACACACGGAGACTGAGAATGAAGCCCGTGCAGTGAACAAGCTGTGAGAGGAGCCTGAGACTAATGGATAAATTAGGAGTTTGGGATTAACAGATACACACTACTATATCCCACTCCTGGGCATATATCTGGAGAAAACTCTAATTCAAAAAGATACATGCACCCCGATGTTCACAGCAGCACTATTTACAATAGTCAAGACGTGGAAGCAACCTAAGTGTCCAGTGACAGAGGAATGGATAAAGAAGATGTGGTATGTATACACAATGGAATACTACTCAGCCATAAAAAAGAATGAAATGATGCCACTTGTAGCAACTTGGATGGACCTAGAGATTATCATACTAAGTGAATTAAGTCAGAGAAAGACAAATATCATATCACTTATGTGTGGAATCTTTAAAAAATGACACAAATGAACTTATTTACAAAACAGAAACAGACTCACAGACATAGAAAACAAACTTATGGTTACCCAAGGAGGAAGAGGGTTGGGGAGGGATAATCAGGAGTTTGGGATCAGCAGATACAAACTATTATATATAAAATAAACAACAAGGTCCTATCTTATAGCACAGGGAACTATATTCAATATCCTGTAATAAACCAAAATGGAAAAGAATATGAAAAAGAATATGTACATAGATATATAAAACTGAATCAGGGCTTCCCTGGTGGCGCAGCGGTTGAGAGTCCACCTGCCGATACAGGGGACACGGGTTCGTGGCCCGGTCCGGGAAGATCTCACGTGCCGCGGAGCGGCTGGGCCCGTGAGCCATGGCCACTGAGCCTGCGCGTCCGGAGCCTGTGCTCCACAACGGGAGGGGCCACAACAGTGAGAGGCCCGTGCACCACAAAAAAAAAAAAAAAAAAAAGATTATTGCTAATTTTTAAGCATGATAATGTTATTGAGGTTATGTTGTTTTTTACAAAGAGTTCTTAAATTTTTCGAGATACATACTGAAATATTTGTGGATGGAAAGGTATGATGTCTAGGTTTGCCCTGAAGTGATAAAGGGGGGAAATAGCTAAAGGTTTAAAGAAAACAAAATTGGCCAGAGATAATCATTCTTGAAGCTGCGTGAGGCATACGTGGCAGTTTGTTATAATGTTCTGACTACTTTTCATATACATTTGAAATGTTTCTGTAATAAAAAGTTTAAACAGTAAAATAAAAATGACTTGAGGCTCACTCCCTTCTTCATCCACTAGAGGCTGTTAAAGGGGTTTGCTCACTCTGTTATAATCATGCTCAGACCTGGGAGTTACAGAAGTTACCTTTTTCTCCTCATAATGATCTCTCTGGTTGATAGATGAAATGGGACAGAGACTGAGGGCTCCCTTATACTGATTCAGAACCCAAGTAGCTCTTCCTAGAAAAGCATTCAACTCAAAATCGGAGACCCTCTTAATGGCAACAAAAAAGCAAAAATCTAAATTCCAACCAACCAACCAAAGAACAAAAGAAAGCAACGCTCCTCCTAGATCAGCACTGTCTAGTAGAAATAATTTGAGCTGTATGTGCAGTTCTATATTTTCTACTAGCTACATTAAAAAGAAAAAAAAGTGAAATACTAATAACATTTTATTTAACACCCTATTTCAAAAATATCATTACAACATGTACTCACAATAAAAAGCCTATTAATTAGGCATTTTGCACTCTTTTTTCCTATTAAGTCTTCAAAAACAGGTGTGTATTTTACTATGGGTGACATTTCAAATGCTCAAGAACCGCTACCACACTGGACAACACTTCTCTAGATGGTGAGGGCCTGGTGGGAAGGAGCCCCGTCTTATCCTAAATGATTTGATTAAAATGCATACATTTCCCAGGTGGTCACCAACATTCAATACAAGTGGCCCCCCAGGGGAAAAAACCACATGAGATATAGAAAAATGTTTCTTACAACTCAAGGGGCCAATGGGTGGAAAGCCCTGTTTTTACATCCTGCCATGTATCTGTTTGCGCACACACCCAGGGAGAAGCTGCTGGAATATGGATAGCTGTGTGTTCCTTCTGGCTGCTAACCTGGTTGCTAATCATTAGGTATGAAGCCCAGGATGGGGTCTCTATAATGATTTCTGGGGTGGGGACAACAGCTATATTGTTCCCTGTTCAGTCTTCTCTCCAGCCATACGGCTGGTTACTCAGTGTCTCCTGCTGGAGAATAGAACCATGTGGACAAGAAAGCCCTTCCCTGGGCTTCTCAGGAAAAAAGGCTCTATCCAGCTCTGCACCTTTGGGCCTGATGGCACTCATCTGAAGCCTGAAGGAAGGGCTCACTGACCCGAGACTCCCCCTGGTGCCCCCTGACTCCAAAGAAGCAGCGCCAGGCTAGTGCAGCTGCTATGTGGAGAAGCAGACCCGGATCCTCTGCACGGGGACAGGAAATGGGGGTGTTTGTGGGTGTCACAACAGGGAGGGCCCGTCTGGGATTCAGACCAAGGATGCTAGACAACCTGCAATGTACCAGACTGTCCCACTCAATAAAGAATTGACCCGCATAACCCACAGAGGTCCTGTTGGACACTGCTGTAGGTGAAAAAACTGCTTAGTTATCTGAGCCGAGAACTTAACTCCATTTTACATACAATTCAAAGTAATTATTGCACTGCTGTATTAGTCCCTGAATTTTCCAGTAATGCAACTGTCATATAAATGAAATACTATGTTTTGCTCAGCTTTTTACCCAGAGTTGCTCACCTCTGCTGAAAAATGTGTCCCAAGGTATCACCACTTGTGGTACCTAAGTCTCTCTTACCCAAATTAGCCTGCAGTTGCAGCTGTCCCACTCACAGTGATTATCAGTGTAGCTGCAAACCCATTTGCTAATCAGTTGTACCCGAACACTTACAAATTGAAGTTATTTTATAATAAATTACATTCCTTTCATTTCCCTTTTTAATTACAGATAAAGATTACATGGAGCTGGGGGGACATGACGTGTGAGGTCAGATTATTTCCCCTGTGAAGGTTCACTGAAGTTTGTGAAGGGGACATTAGAAAATACTGTTATTCAAAGTGAGCCCGGGGTCAGACAGGGCTGCAAGCCACCGCTTCTGTGCATACCCCTGACTGAGCTCCTTTAAAGTCAGGCACGGTAGTTTGATGGCTCTGCTTGTCCAGCCTGGGAAATAAAGAGAGGAACCCACGGGGACCGTCACAGCTGCTCACCTATAATCCTGGGAGGGAATCTCACACTTTGTTTCCCAACGGTCACAGCTGCACGCGGTGCTTCTTGCCCCTGTTTCTCAGCAGGCCCTGCTTCTCTCAGTGGCTTGGCTGAAACAATTTGTTCTACTCGAATGATCCCAGATTCCATCTGATTTTGCCACTTCAAGAACTTTCCGCCTCCCGTTTGGCTGCTCTGGAATCTCCCAATGACTGACTGGGAAAACAGACTGTTGGAAAAACACCTCCAGGTTGTCTTTAAAGGGATGGCCGCCCTATCAGACGACGGAAATGCCTCCCGCTGGACCAAATGCACGTTATGTGTTCCCTCAACTCCAAATATAGGTCCAGGGGAAAGAGATCAGAAGAGGTGCGACCACAAGGTGATCTGCTCTACCATTTTGTGGGTGTGTTTTGCTTTATTGGGTTTTTTTGTTTTTGCTCAGTGCTGACTAAATGACTCTTCCCCTGCTGCATAATTCAGTCTTGGATCATTTCATCCTGTTTGAGAACCATTCCAACAGAATGGACAGAATGATGGCTTACGTAAAAAGCAACTCCAGGACTATGTTTAAATATTGACTAGTTTGAGAAGAGCAAACCACAAAGACTTGAGGTGTAAAAACCACATGTGGTTTATGTTTTATAGGACACCCTCAGGAAGGTGAATGGACATAGTTAAAAAAAATCAAACTGGTTTCTCCCTCACCCTTACCTACAACCATTAAGAAATAAAAAACAAAATAAGACTAAACAGCAATTAAACAGAACCCAATCTGGGTGTTACTCTTGGCCTCGGGGTGGCAGCTCTGTCGAACAAGGCAAATACGTAGCTGTCTGGGTTCCACGGCTAAGGTCAAGCATAATGGCCGCCGGGGCCACAGCTCCTCCCAGCCCGGCCACCGCCCCTCTCGGTCATCACAGCTGATTCCTTCCAGAGTCGCTTCTCCAACTCCAGCTCCTCTGGCCCCATGCTCAACCTCCTGGCCAGTCTTCTCCAACCAGAAAGAAAAACGCACAAAGAAGACTACTTCCTAGGAATCAAATCTTCGATGATCTTTTACCTGCTCTCCCCATGTACCTGTCTCTGACCTCACGGCTGACTAGGGAGCCGGAACGCTGCGAGGGCTCCCAGGCAGTCACTCAACGCTCAGTATCCACTGTGTGCCAAGTGCTGTTTTAGGTGTCGCAGATGCCACAGGGATCAGACAGGTGAGATCACACAGTGATCTCCACCCTCACAGAGCTCACGTTCATATCTGAGTTGATGATGTGATGGAAGGAAAACAATTTACCCCCCGTTCTGTGCCGCACAGGTGTTACAGAGTACCCAGGTCACTGCCAGAGGAAGGGCTAATTTCAGGCAGACTCTAGTGTAAACGTATAGTGCACCAAAGTCCTGGGGTAATCATTTCGATTTGAGAACCATTTCCATACAAATGTACTTGAGGGCGCACTGCCAGGCCAGCCCACAAAAGTCTATTTAATTCATAACATGACTAAACTAAAACTTTAGTTCCAATTCTTCAAGGAAGAGGACTCAGAAGTGATGGATGGGAGAGGGCTTCATGATTCTCCGCTGCGCCAGCCTCAGCCTCAGCCTCTGTCCCATCCCCAAGCCGGCCCTACACTTTCCCTTGACCGCACTCAGGACATAAGGGGCTCCTGTCCCTAAGTACTTCTTACCCAGAAGTCATAATTCCCCTCCACAGGGTAAGATGACCTCATCAAGATGTCAGGAGGAAATCGACTTGTTGCCTTTTATCTTTAAAGACAGAGGAGTTGTTAACCCAAACGACATTGAGTTAGTGGACATTTTGTTGAGAGAAAGGAAGCCATTTGGTTGGAGGGAGATGCTGTACGGTACGGTCACACTGTCTAGGGTAAACTTTCTTAAGTTTCTCCTACTTTTTATAGTTTTCTTCCTTCACTTAAGTATATATATTTTTTCTTATGAAAAAGTCATACATGAAAAGTTTAGAAAATAG